AATCTGCCTTCTGGAAAGGGGGAAAGTGGGCAGAGATTTTAAAACCCTTTGCTTCAATTCACGTTGAATATTTGGGCCTCAATTATTAATAAAATGGCACCAATAACACCAAACTCAGAGGTGCACTGTGTGGCTTAGGATGATTCCTCAACCCCTCTGAGCCCAGGGTGTGGCCTAGCACCCCCTATGACAGCCCGTCTGCCCACCAGGGACAAGGCCCAGGAACTGTCAGACTGGATCCACCAGCTGGAGTCTGAGAAGTTTGATCTGATGGCGAAGCTGAAGCAGCAGAGATACGAGGTGAGACGTGTCTCTGTTGGGGCCTAGGCCAGAACAGGATAGGACGGGGCAAGGGTGGGCCGGCCTGTCCCCCACTGTCCCAGCATCTCCTTCCCGCCTCCCTCCACAGATCAACGTGCTGTATAACCGCATCAGCCATGCACAGAAGTTGTAAGTGTGAACTGGCCTGCGCCCCACACCCTCCCTCAGGGGGTCTCCTTCTTTCTCTATCCTCCTCACTCTGAGTTTCAGCCCCTCACCCCCTCTTGGCATCTGTGCCTTTCTCTATCTTTGTCCCTCATTCTCTGTCATTTTCTCTGTCCTCTGTCTCTCTTCTGGGGTCTCGATCCGTTTCCATGTTCCTCTAAATCACTGGTTCTCAAAGAAGGGAGCTGATGTTGCCTCCCAGGGAACATTGGGCAGTGTCCAGAACATTTTTGGTTGTCACAACTGTATGGGGGGAGGCCAGGGTTGCTACTCAACACCCTACACTGCACAGGACAGCACCCCAGGGCAGAGTGGTCAGGCCCCACAGGTCAGGAGTGCCAGCCCCTTCATCACACACATGTATTAGCACCCATACAGATATCTCAGCTCACCGTAGGTGCCCAGTCCCACGCGTCAGCAGGATTGGCCTTTGACCATGAACCGCTTCACCCGTCGATGAACCTTAATGAGAACACATTTGCCCACCTCGTCCTCTGGGCAGGGAGGGCAGGTATTTTTGGGGGCCCATCTCAGATGTCAGGGCAGCCCTCCTTCCTGACGCCCTGTTCTTCTCCTGCAGCCGGAAGGGGGCAGGGAAGGGCCGCGTTGGAGGCCGCTGGAAGTGAGCACCTTGGCGGTGGCCCACCCTGAAGCACTTGGGAGCTGCTGCAGTGTTGTCCCATCTGTATCTTGAAATAAATGCTCCACCTGCTGAGTTCCTTGATTATTATTAACATGCAGCCGGCCTTTCACAGTTAGCTGACTTATCACCAACCCGCTGCTGCTTGGAGAATCCTCAACTATCATTACGATGCTACGTGGCATTGAACCCTCACACGCAGCTGGTAGGAAAGAAAAATGGGGTAGCTGCTTTGGAAAACGGTTTGGTGGTTCCCCAAAATGTTAGACATAGAGTTACCTTAAGGCCCAGCAGTTCCACTCCTGGGTATCTGAGAGAACTGAAACATAGGTCCACGTGAGACCTTGTGCACAAATGTGGCAGCAGCATTGTTCACAGTAGCCAAGGTGGAAACAACCCAAGTGTCCCTCACTGATGAATGGGTATGATGGAATATTACTCAGCCATAAACAGGAATGATGCACTGACACACACTACAATGTGGATGGACGTTGAAGACATGATGCTCAATGGGTGGGAGAAGCCAGACACAAAAAGCCACATAGTATATGATCCCATTTATATCAAGTTTCCAGAAGGCAAATCCATAGAGACACAAAGTTAGATTAGTGGTTTCCAGGGATTGTGGAGAGGAAGGGAAGGGGTGGAGGTGAGGGCTAAAGGGGATGGTGTTTCTTTTTGGGTGGTGAAAATGTTCTGGACTTAAATGGTGGTGGCACAATCTTGTGAATACATTAACAAGTACTCAGTTGTACACTTTGAAATGGTAAACATTTCAGCATGTGAAGTATATCTGAATTGAGAAATGCAAAGCCAAACAAAAAAAATTGCAAAGTTGCCCATGGGAGGATCAGTTCAGTGACAAATTAATGCCCATACTTTGTCGCTCTGCTCTTGTGACTTTCAGAATGGGACCTACATTAGTGAGCACATAGGTCTGGCTACTGGGCCCGAAACCCCAAATGACCTTGGCTCAAGCAAGTGCGTTGAATTCTCTCACTCCTGAGAGTCTGAGTTGAGATGGGGGTCTCTGTTTCATGACACTGTCCTGGTGCAGGCTCCGTCAGTTGTGTGGCTACTGTCCTAGTGTCTTGCCTTTGTTCAAGGGGTGAGTGCTCTGGACTGAAGTTTTGTGTCCCCCTAAATCCATAGTGGAAGCCTGAACCCCCAATTTGATGGTGTTCAGAGGTGGCGTTTGGGAGGTGGTCAGGGTTTGCTGAGGTCCTGAGCATGGGGTCCCTATGATGGGGTCAGTGTCGTCATGAGTTGAGGAAGCGACCAGAGCTTGCTCTCTCCACCATGTGAAGACATGGCGAGAAGGTGGCTGTCTGCAAGCCAGGAGGAGGGCTCTCAGAGGCACTGAGCCATGCTGGCATCTGATCTCCAGCCTCCAGAACTGTGAGGAATGATGGCTGTCTTAAGACCCCCAGTCCGTGGTCTTTTTGTCATAGCAGCCTGCTTTAACTATGACAATAAGAGTGTTTCACCAGCCTCCACAGGCAGGTCACAATATACTTCTCTCTTAAATGTAAAAGTCTCTTTTGTGCAAATAACTTTTGCAAGGACAGTTTAAAAATAACAGAAATCAGAACTGACTTATAGTGTGCCTTGGTTAGCCCTGTTTCCACACTGGACAGGAGAGTAAACTGGTTACTTTGCCAATGTTCTCAGTTCATCCCTTTATCTGAACCATCTTTATGATGTAGCCTGGCGTCTGGTTTTCTGCCTGTTGTGGGGGAGAGGGAACATTTTTTAAAAAAATCTTTCTGAAGTTAGAGAATGTTAATGAGCGGAGTATGAAAATGCCTGTACACAACCAACATCTTCTACCTATCAGATAATTTTTAAACCTGAATCTAAAGGCAGCGTAAAGATTGCTAATAGAGCTTATGGTGGGAGTATGTCCGTTTGTTGTGTGGAGTAAGCAGATACCTTAAATTGTGTCTCCCACAAATATTCGATCACAGTCACAAAAGTACAGGTGTATTCACATCAAAGCTTTCTACAGACATCCTAAACACAAGCACCCATAAACAGCACACACTCAGTCACAAACAATCGAAAATGCACACAATTATAATGTGTCGAGGTTACATACAGGCAAGAAATACATAGCATACGGTTGATTAACGACTTTTAGGTTCCCTGGAGAAGATCGGTGTGTATTGGTATGGGAACCGTGGGGTTCAGGACGACACACCCCAAGAGCCACCAGGGTTGTTAACCCTTTTCTATCTACGGCTGGCGTTCCCCAGGCCTCGCGGGTTTTGTAGTTTATTCTTTGCACAGGCCCAAGGACTTGAGAGCGGGCGGAGTCTGTCGCCTCTGTCCAGATTTCAGCACCTCTGTGCCACTTTCATGGGCCTCTGTTCCGGTCTCAAAGTGCCCGCATCTTCCCCAATTTGGGTTTAGGAGCAAGATACCTCAGGTGAGGATTGCTTCATGCTTTACAGTGCTGTGCATGAGACCACTCGCCTTCTGAAGCGATTCCAACGCCTCGCCTTGGACTACAAATCCCAGCATGGTTTGCAAGGAAGTAAAGGCTGGACTACATTTCCTGGCGTGCTCCACGTTCCTTGGTGAGCGCGGGAGAAGGGCGTTCACCCAGACCTTGGGTTCCTTTCCTGTTATGATCCAAGGGTTATCAACAGGGACTTTAGACTTCTCTTGCCATTGAGCCTGATTTTTTTGGGTGTTTGGAGGCTCTGCTTAGGACCAACTGAACCGTTAGGGGCGTGGCCCTGCGGACTACATTTCCCAGAGTTCCCTGAGGCTCTTGGCCAATTGCCGTGACCTTAGTACCGCAAATTAATTCCCAGCATGCCCTAAGAGGCCACCCAGGGAGCCGTGGAGGCGAATTGTCTTGAGTAACGTGGGAATTGCGGGCTCAATTTCCCATGGTGCCCTGGTGTTTCACACGGCCGAGGAAATCCATTCACTTATTCATTCAAAAGCTATTTTCTATCGCTTACTCTTAGGCTCAGGTCTAGGCTCTGGGAACAAGGAGCGCCCGAAGAAGACAAAATAAATCCATGCCCTCCTGAAGCTCATTTCTAGTTGAAGGGATTATAGTCCCCCAAAATAAGTCATATGGTATGAGGAAATCTCTATGATAAGGTCTATGGAAAAATTAGTTCTCTACCTTTTGGGACTCCGGGGCCATCGAGTGAGTACCTTTCCTATCAGATTCCTTCACCTAGATGCTGTGACTACATGCTGTGACTTAATTCCCAGCATGCCCCGGAGCATTCCCTCAATCAGATTTCCGTTTGACGCCTGGGAGGGAGGTGGCGCTGACCGGGGGCGGACAGAGTGGGCTGGGGCGCCGACCTGGTGCACGGTACTGATGCCGTCGGCACTGGTCGAGTCGAGCACAGCGCGGGCGGGCAGCGGGACCAATGTGCTTCGGAGCTTAGCGAAGCCAGAGTGTTGCCATTGCCAACTTCCGCTTGTAGACTCCATTTCCCAGAGCCCCCCGCGGCTTTCTACTGGCTGCGGACTGCATTTCCCAGCGCTCCCTGGGGCGGCGTGGTGACGTTGCGCGCCGGGCGGGGCCCGGCAGGTCCTCCCGCGGGCGGCTAGGGGCGAACGGTAATTCCCGGCGGCCCTGTG